AATGCTTCGGAGGCTGGGGGCCGAAGGTGCTGTTGAACTGGCTCAAGCTTCTCATGGCTTCAGTTCTGCTGAACGGTCAGAGTCCTGGGAAGCCTATCGCAGAGTCTACTGTTGCAGAGATAGCAACTGGAGGGTTAAGTGGAAGACGCTGTATCTGCTGTGAGACTCATCAAGATTAGTCTTAGGGTTTGTTCTGCAAGCCAGAGGGTTGGGTGCAGAATCTGACAGTTAAGCTTTGTTCAGGAATCTTGTGGGCTGTGTCTAATGTTTCTCCCCCTGGTTCTCTTGGTGCATTGTACTCTGCTTTTGTTTGGTGGTGAGCAGCTCTTTGTCACCTGCTGTTTTAGCAAAACCTAGAGGACAGCTGTGATAGGGAGGAAGACCTAGCATGTAAATAGCTCCTTTCTTGTGTTGCCAGAGAGGAAGAAACTTGGGTGGAGGGGATGTTACTACCGTCCTGTCGAAGCTAAAATACCAAATAGGGAGATTCCAGCTCACTGTTTTCATTTAGGCTTTGCTTAATGTGTTTCCCAGTCCCTAGAATTTCTAGATAGACTTCGAGAGGAGATGCTAATGAGGGAAAAGAGAGATGGGGAGGAGGCTGGGAATGCAGCTTCCTTTGGGAAAATTCCTGTCTTTCTTCCTCATCTTTTCTAGCTCTGAGGGAGTTTTAATGCTGGTGTAGGATGTCCAGACTTAATTGCTCCAAACCAGAGTTACAGAGGTAAAAGAAAATGTTGGAGAGCTTGCTCAATCCTGCCCTTCAGTAAAATAAAGGACAGTGGAACTCTTTAACTTTCAAGATTACTTTGGGACCAGAGTTGCACAAGTGGAGGAGAGCAGAGTCCTAATGAGCCCTAAATTGGTTGCTCCTCCTGCCCCACCTTCTCCCCAGCCTCTGGCAGCTGCCATTCTGTACCATACCCTGAGTTCCACTTTTTTAGATTCTGCATGGAAGTGAGGTTGTATGTTTCTCTGTCTGTATCTGGCTTATTTCACTTAGCATCCTGTCATCTAGATTCATCCATGTTGTCACAAATGATAGGATGCCCTTCTCTTTAAAGACTGGTGACACGCTTTTCTTTCTTCATCTCCCAGTTGATGATCCCTGTGTACCTGGGCTGCTGTGACTAGTGCAGAAGTGAGTGAGGGAGTGCACACATCTCTTCAGCAGCCCAGTCCCCTTCCCTTGGGCGTATGCCGCGTAGTGGGGTTGCGGACCACAGGGTGGTTGCATTTTCAGTCTTCTGAAGACTGACCATACCTTTTTCTGTAGCGGCTGTGCAATTCACATCCCTGCCAGCCCGTGCGAACGTCCCATTCCACTGCACCCTCATTATCGCTCTCCTTTGTCATTTTGGTGACAGCCATTCTGACTGACAGCTGTGAAGTGTGTGCACATTGTGTTTCTGCTTGGTATTTCCCTGATGACTAGCAGTGTTGAGCATATTTTATTTCCCTGTTAGCCATTTATCTTTCTTTTTTTGAGACATATCTTTTCAGGTTCTGTGCTTCTTTTTATTTATTTATTTATTTTTGGTTTCTAGAGACACATTCTTGCTTTGTAGCTCAAGCTTGGCCTTGAACTGACTATGTAGTCCAGACTGTACTTGAACTTGTGGCAATCCTCCTGCCTCAGCTTTCTGAGTCCTGGGATTATGGTCCTGTACCACCATGCCCAGGTACTCATTTTTAACTTAGGTTGTTTTCTTGCCATTGAGTTTCTTATATATTTTAGATGCTGGCCTCTTGTCATGTATATGGCTTGCAAATATTTTCTCCCATTCCGTAGGTGATCTTTTTGCTGTTGATGGTTTTCTTTTCTTTTTTGGTACTGACAGTCGAACTCAGCACCTTGTGCTTGCCAGGCAGGCGCTGTGATGCTGCGCTATATCCCTAGCTGTTGACTTTTTTTTTTGCAGCACAGAATCCCACTTTTTAAAAAAGATTTTAAGCCTAACATCTACATGCTTATTAAAGTGACATGTTGCTCTTACTTAACTATTTATTATTTATCATCTTGATGCATTTTTTTCCCTATGCATATTTCCTCTCTCTTTTAAAATTAGTATAAAAGTAGCCATCTATGGTAGTGCATGCTTGTAATCCCAGCACTCAGGAGACTGAGGCAGGAGAATCACCTCGAGTTCAAGGCCAGCCTGAACTACATAGCAAATCCCTGTCTCAAGAAACCAAAACTAAATAAATAATGAAAACACAACATGAATACTGTTACATTGTAAGTGTTGTAAACGGTGTGGTAGAATACAGGGCAGAACTTGGCAGACTCTGTTGTTCCCCATTTGCCAGTGCCCCCCGACACACAGGTTTCCTTCCCCAGAGCAGCCACTGACAATGCTCAGTGAATGCTTTAGCCACTGTCCTTCCCCCGGGGTGTGCGTGTACGAGTATTTTCATAAAGAGGGACTCATACTCTGTGTGTCACACAGTGACTTCTGTTTTCCACTGAACCATGGCAGAGTCCGTCTTGGGAAAGTGTTCCACGTCAGGACATGCAGTTCCTACTTCGCTGCTGTTGTTAATGGTCATGTAGTATTTCATGGTAAGCGTATACCTCATTTTAAGTGCTCGCCTGTTGACGTCAAGGTTTTAATCTTTTACTCTTCCAACAAAGCGCTGCTATGCAAGCGTGCATCTTTGAGCACATGTGCAAATGTTTCTGTTGGATGGCTGCCTGGAAGTGGGACTGCTGGCTGAAAGTAAATGCTATTTTTGGTTTTGATAGATGCTGCCAAGTTGTCTTCCTGAAGGAACCCACCGGTTTAAACCCATGCTGGTGATGTTTTAATAGTGCTTGTTTTCACACACTTGATAATGTCATTATTTTTGTTTTATCCATCCGATGGGTGAAAAGTGATATTTGATTATTATAATTTGTGTCTCTGTAGATCTAAACTTGTCTATTTTCTGCCCTTTAAGAATCCCTAAACGTTGTCATTTTTTTCATGACAGTGTTTCGTATTTTTGGGGGGCCAAATTAATCTACCTACCTGTCTCTCAGGGTAGAGTAAGATACGATATTTTTTTCCGTCACTTTACAAAACTTTAAACAGACAGGGAACATACTTGTATATTTAATCTACTATTCTGAATTTCTCTCATAAATTCTTTCCAAATTACATTTATTAGTATTCATAAATTTGATTCTTTTTTTCTCTTTAACATTTATTATAATTTCTTATTACTGAGCAATACAACTGGTATATGCTATTCTACTCTGTTTGTATGGTAGTTAAAATAATTCTCTATTGATGTGTATTTCCAAAAAGTTCTTGATAAAAATGCTGCCTCCAGCATCTGAGCTTATTAAAGGCTCTGGGCTGGGATGGTTTTACTGGTGATTCTTTATAATTTTAGTGCTTTATATCAATAATTCCTGAATATAGAAATGAGACAGCTGCCTAGCTGATCTGTCACCCAAACCTAACACTGATACTAGCCAATAATAGTAGCAAAGAAGCAAAAACTAAACCAGCCTCACTTATGAATATGGTTGTTAAAATCCACAGTAAGTAATTCTCAAATGATATTCTCAAGTAGATTTCATTAAGGCTATGATAGATAACAGCCAAATAAAGTTTATTCCAAGAATGAAAGAATGGCTTAACGCAAGAAACCATTAAGAAACCTAATGATAACATATTTAGGTCGTTAAATGTGAAAAACTGATTAGCTAAATTGATGCAGAAAATGCATTTAAATTAAACAACTACATAGCTCTAATAGTGCTTTTAAAAGAAAAAGGGGCTGGGATGTAGCCCAGTGGTAGAGCGATATTGCCCAGCATGTGTGAGGCCTATCTTCAGTCCCCAGCGCCACAATCAACCAATCAAATAAAAAATAAAAAGCAGGGGAAAAATACTTTGTCAGTACAGAGTGCATGCTGTAAACCATCAGAAGTGTTCTTTTTAGAAAGAGAAGGTTGTCATCTGCTACTTAATATTTTAGAAGCTCTTTAAGACGGGTGTGGTGGTGCACACCTCTAATCCCAGCACTCGAGAGGCTGAGGCAGGAGGATCATTGTGAGTTTAAGGCCAGCTTGGGCTACGAAGTGAGCTCAAGGCCAGCCTGAACTGCATAGTGAGACCTTTTAGAAGCTCTGACCAATGCAGTGAGCTATGAGACAGGAATAAGAATGAAGGCTTTGATAGTTAAAGTGACACACCTATTTCATGTATTTCTGAATCACATAAAACATGCAAATTGTTTTTAGTTTATACATGCACACAAGTGAGGCATTCATTCTTCAGTATCCTTGAGGGACTGCTTTGCAGACACTAAAGTCCTCAGATGCTCAAGTTCTTATATACAGTGGCATATTTGGATATTATCCACACATTTTCCTGTATGTATATTAAGTCTTTCTCTAGATTACTTCCTAAAACCTTGGATGATGTAAATGCCGTGTAAAGGGTTGTACTGCTGTGTTCAGGGAAGAGTGACAAAGAGGAAAAAGTCTGTATGTATTCATGCAGGTGCATTTTTATTCTGAGCATTTTCAGTCTGCACTTAGCTGAGTCTGAGTTGGCACCCATGGCTCTGGAGGGCTGGCTGTGTCCACTGGCTGGCTGCGTCCTGGTGTTGATCCTGGCCCTTCCCGGTGGCATCATCCTGATGGTGTGGTCAGCAGAGGGTGGGTGCTCAGTACCGGCATCCGGCTGAGGGGTTGTTGACCTTTCAGTGAACTGGGAGCCCGCTGAGGTGTGAGTCCCAGACCGAGCCGATAATGAAGTTATGGGTGAGCAGCAGGGTGCAGAGCAGTCTCTCCCCAGGGGCACTGCGGTCTGGATGCTGAACGCCCCACCTTGCAGGCCATCCTGCCCCCTCCTTGCCATGTGTCTCTGTGGCATCCACCCGCTGCCGTCCTTAGGAGCTGTTCCTTAGAAGCCTGCCATTCGCTTGGTCTTTCCGAGTGGCCAGCCTCACTCCCGCGTTCTGACTTCCGTCTGTGAAACCTGTCTCTCTTTCTCCCCTGGTAGCATGTGGAGAGGGCCAAACGTGAACTGCGTTGACAGCACTGGCTACACACCGCTGCACCACGCCGCCCTGAATGGCCACAAGTGAGTAGAATGCCTCGTCCCTGCCTTGCGCGCACCCGTTCCCACTCCCACACCCTCGGCGTCCCTTTTGGTCCCTGTAAGGGTTGGCTAAGCCTGGCTCTGAGGAAGAGAAAAACTAAATTGTGTCCATGCAGAATCCCTGAGTTTGTCTTTGGTGTATCGTTTAAATATCCCCCACCCACCCGGCAACTTTAGTCTAAGTTGAATTTTACCTTTCCCTCCTCTTGTCCTTTTCTCAGATACAGTATTCCATTGCCACACAATGACGTAAGCATGAAGATCGTGATTAACCCCTTGATACGCTGAAAACAGATTGAGCGGTCCTGAGAAACATGCCATGTGTTAGAGTCGTAGTTCACGCTCTCTTTACTTGCCTACTGCCACTCTTTCCTGTAGCAGCGGCCCGGGGAACAAGAACCACTTTGGAGGGAAAAGCGCATAGATAACATGGCCTGTTCGTCTCCCTTGGAATGGAACTGGGTGGCCTTGGGCAGAAGGTCTTGAGGGAAGGTATGGGCTTAGTGGCCTTAGCTCTGCCCTCCAAGGGAGGGTTGTATGGCGGCCCAGCAGAGGGGCAGGTGCACTGTGTCACCTGAGCAGGTCTCCCCAGTGCAAAGAATGGAACCCAGAGTGTAACGGAACAGAAGTTATTCAGGAGAGCTTGGAACAAATACTATAGGAGATGAGCAGTAGAAGTTTCATTTTCAGGCTGGCCTGGTGGTGCATGTCTGTAATCCCAGCACTCAGGAGGGTGAGGCAGGGGGATCATTGTGAGTTCGAGACCAGCCTGGGCTACAAATGGAGCTCACAGCCAGCCCTAACTGTAGAGCAAGACCCTGTTTCAAGAAGACAAAAAAAAAAAAAGACAAAAATAAAATTCTGTTTTCATGAGGAAGGACTATTGTAGTCACTATAGGTTTTTCTTTTTTTCTCTTTTTTCTTTGGTGCTAAGGATTGAAACTAGGACTTCACACATGCCACATACATCCTCTACTTCTGAGCCATACCCACAGCCCCTCATTTTAGATTTTTCAAAGCAAGAAGTGGGCCCACCTTGTGCTGTACTTTTCTTTATTTGTCCAATATTTGGTCCAGCTGCATTGACTCCAGAGAGAGACCACAATTGTTTCCTTCAACATTAAGTTTTCTAAAGTACATTGAGTGTGATCTCTGTCTTCTGTATTCATCTTAAAGCTAGAAAAGAAATCTGTAGAGACTATTTCTCCCCTAAGTAGTGAGATAACCTGAATTAAAATGAATCTTGAACTCAGAGGGCTGTAGCAGAGTTCATCTCCCATGTTGTTTTTATTTACAGGGAGGATTTTCTTTGGGATAATTGAACATTGGTACCTGCTTAATTAATGGTGTCACCGAGGTGAAAGCCAGGTCCCTCTTGCTGGCGCTATCAGATGATACCATTTGTATCAGTTGTGTGCAGCAACTTTGAATTCTGCTTTACCTGTCCGCTTTGTCTCCCCCCGCTACACAACCTGAATAATGCAGTGAACAAGGACATCTGTCTTATTTGACTGTTTCTATGTAAATTTCTTCCCTGGCTGCTGTTTAAACACCACAGACGTGGAAATAATGCCCAACAGAGAGGTAATGAGTCAGTGTAGCACAGCTCAGGATGGCTTGGCCAGTTAGCGCCTGCACAGGTAGCTTATGGAATAGAGGGTAAGGCCAGGCGGGAGCTCAGGGTGGCAAAGGGCAGCCCAGTGAGAGCCTGCCCATGAGAGGGCTTCGTGCTGTGCAAATGGAAGGAAAGACTTCCGGGTTTTGCAGACTCATGATTGATTTTTGCCTTCCAGGGACGTGGTCGAGGTTCTCCTGCGGAATGATGCGCTGACCAACGTGGCTGACTCTAAAGGCTGTTACCCTCTGCACCTGGCGGCCTGGAAAGGAGACGCCCAGATAGTGCGCTTGCTCATCCACCAGGGGCCCTCACACACCAGAGTCAACGAACAGGTCGGAAGCGGGGAGGCTCTCCTCCCTCCTCCATTCAGCCACATGCAGCTGCTGCCAGCCCTGGCCACCCATCGTCATCTCAGTCCCAGGGCACAGGTCCCAGGGAGCCAGCTCCTCCACAGCCAGTGTGCCCCCTTGTCTGCACTCCTGCTCATTGCCGTGTGGCAGGAACCTTGTGTGTGAGGATGCGTCTTACATGCATTTGACTCATGCAGACTTGGAATACTAGTATAGTTACTATGATAATATAATGCATAATGGTCACTCTGCATGCAACATCTGAGGCAATGCAGATCCTTCAGAATTGCAGTCAACTTCAGACTGCCCGGCTTAGTTAATTGGAAATTGTGCTTATGCTACAGGCATGGCAGTGCAGCTTTCCCAGTGTTTACCAGTCCTACGTGAGCATCTTGTTATTTTATGTATATCTGAAGGTGCAGAAGTAAAAGCACTCATGTTACTGCCGAAAAATAAATTCAGAAATCGTGAAGGTTTGGAGGTCAGAGGTGATTCAGTGGGATGAAGGTCATTTCTAGGATGTCTTCGGATGTTAATTGCAGTGTCTGCATACTCTGCAAAGGCAGAGATAATTCTTAGAAAATATGAGAGGCAACATAGATTTAAAAAAAAAGGGAAACCTTCAGTGGCCCTGGGTGTAAGTAATCTCGGAAAACACCTCTTCTTTCCCTGTGTTCCTTGGGGAAGCGCCACTTGAATTACCTGCGTGAGAGCCGAGCCCCTCTCACACCCTCCTCCTGGGGTGGCCGAGGCTGTGTGCGCGGTGAGGAGCTGGCCCTGCGCTCCACTGCAAGCACTGCCCTGTGTCCGTGCAGTGCTGAGCTGCAGCAGGTGCTTCTCTTGGTGCTTGGTCTAGGGAGCACCTGCTGTTACTGTTAGTAAGCTTAGAACAGTTTTTCTCACGACTTCAGTGAGAGGAGATTGTTCAGTTACCTGTAGGATTAGCTCCAGGTTTACCCGCTCAGAAGCAGGAAATCATCCTGGCAAATCAGGGTCAGACCTTGTCAGCAAGACCCGTGCTAGGCCTAGTGAGTTGTTACGTGAAAAGTATGACCTTGATTCTGAGAAGGGCGGCTGCTGTCTGAGGCAGGAGAAAAGTAGAGGTCTCAAATAGCTCGATTTGGAGCTCGGCTGTGTGTAGCTTAGTCAGCTTACCTTTCCCCTTTGGGGCTCTGTTTTCTGGATAGGAAGTGACGGACATTTACGGTTATCAGTGAGGATGTACATTCATGACATTTGGAATGAGAAATGCAAATGCTCCTGACTAAAGTGTTAGTGTCTTTTCTCTGGAGAAGATGCATAGAGAAGCTTGCTTGTAACTAATATTCTTCAATATTGAAAATTCTGTTCACCCATTAAAGTTTTCATTTAAACAATTTCCAGCAACCATTTCTGACCCTGTCTGTGCTCACTCTTGCCTCGGAACACAGCTGCTTGGATTTTTGAGCCACTTGAGTGTGCTAGCCTTTCCTGCTCACAGCTGCCCCGCCTGGACTCTGCGCTGATAGGTGGACCATCAGCCCAGGGCTCTGAGTGTCGGGCAGGCAGGCAGTGGGGTAGGGGCCAGGCAGGATGTCTGCAGTAGCTTGAAGAACCTGATGGATCTAGGTAGTTACAAGCATGACGTTGATTTATTTAAAAACCATTAATGTGGTTCCAGTTGGATCCTTAGATGGGGGTATAGAGTGAGATGCCCTGGAGGTTGTGTTCCCCATTGACTTCCCTACAGGGTACCCAGAGGGCAGATGTGAGTTGTTCTCGCATTGCACCCTCTCGGGGCTGTGTTTTGCTTTGATATATTTCATACATTTTATCATCACATTTTCTTCTCCTTCCCTTTTTGTAGAATGCTCTTGAGATCAAAGCACTCAAAAAATACGGCCCCTTTGACCCTTATATCAATGCCAAGGTGTGTACTTGCTGCCAGGATTTCTCTGCCTCCGTGCTCACGCTGCGCCTGCGCCCTGGGCCTCTGGCTTCCGCTCCCAGCTGCTCTGGCTCCGCCTCACCCTTGCTGCTGTCCACTATTCCCATCTGCTTTTGGCTTGTCTGAGAATGGGAAAAGGCAGCTGCAGTGGGTTTGGGGTTATTTTTAAAGCCTATACTAATTCTGGGAAGGTGGGAAATGTCAGAAACAGTGGAAATGGAGAAATTGAAGAGAAAGCATTGTGTGCTTAACTTACTGTTGGGATTTCTAAAACCACTGAAATTTTTAAAAGAAAAATATAGTCCTATAAATTAGCTTACATTTAAATAAGCGCAGAAAAATGATTAAATTGTACTTCCTGGAATCAAAAAAATTATTCTGCTTTCCGGATTCCTTTTGCAGTGGAGTCTGATTTTCTTTCAGGTCTCAGTAACCGTGTGGTGTGGAGGTGTGGGAGGGGATCGGTGACTCCCCTGAGCTCCCTCGTCAGCTGTCGCTCGCCACTCTCCTCTCATTTCCTGGAGTCTGTACATTTTGCATGGTGCGCTGAAGCCTCAGCAGAATCCCCAGCTCACCTCTTCCTGCCCCTCACTCTAGGCCCGTGGAGACCTCTTGAGATAGAAAGCGAGGTTGCAGGGCCCAGCGGGGCGCTTGCCAGGCAGGGTGGAGGGTGGGGTTGGGCAGTGGCCCGGGGTGTGTGGTGATGACCCCCAGCGCTCACCGCCCATACCACCCAGTGTAGCCTCGCTCATCACCCAGGGTGGGGCAGCCTCACTGCTCAGCACTCTTGCCCGCTGTGATTGTGTCCAAGGGGTTTGATTCAGATACAGTTTGCTTTTTGACAGCAATCTAGAGTTCAGTTGACATGCCACATAGTTCACATTAGCTGATTTCTTACTCGCTTTCTAAACATAAGGCAGGGATTTCATGCTTCTTGAGAAGACTGATCTAGCAAGTGCAGCCCCTCCCTTCTGGGGTGATGGGACACAGGAGATGTGCCGTGGCTTTGTGGCCTTAATAGTGGAGAAGCAGTTGACCTAGGCTCATGGAGCAATCGCCTCTGTTTTGACATGCTTTAAACTCTGTCTTCTCTTTTAACTCCTGTTACCGAATAAGAAGGTACTCTAATTTTGTCGCTTTTTTGATGACAAGGAGTAGAGCAGTAGAGTAGAAAACTCTCACATTGTATGCGTAGGCTTTCCCGTCAGACTGAGTTTGAGGTTTTGGCTGCCACATTTCGGTTTCCTTGACTTTTGAGCATGTTGTCTAATTTCTCCGAAATCAGTTTCCTCTTCTGTAAAATAGATATCACCACTTAACATGCTGGATTGGTTTGAAAGGTTTTGGTTTTACTTTTGTGGTACCAGGAATTGAATTCAGGGCCTCATGCATGCTAGGCAAGCAGTCTACAGTAGCCCTTATTTTTTGAGACAGAGACTCACTTGAGTTTCCTAGGCTGTACTCAAATTTGTAATGCTCCTGCCTCAGTCTCTCCATTAGCTAGACTGCATACATGTGCCACTGTGCCTGGCTTTTGTTTGGGAGTTTTAGTGAGAAAATGCACAGCCAGGCGTGATGGTGCACACTATAATCCCAGCACGCTGGGAGGCTGAGGCAGGAAGATCCTAAATTCAAGCCCAGTCTCACTTAGTGATTTAGCAAGACTCTGTCTCAAAATAAAAAATAAAGAAATAAAAAGGGCTAAGGAGGTACCTTAATCCCCAGTACTACTACTGCTACTAATAGTAATGATAAGCTATATAAAGCAAAAAATATCTGGTAACCAGTAATATTTGAGATCCTAATTTTTAAAAATGCATGTAGTTTATTTCTCAAAAGCCGTTTTGGAATCTGTTACTAGTCAGTGATGTTTAATGAAACACTGTTAAGTTAGTTTAATCAGAGTTTTGTGGGGAGGGGGCTTGAGGCTAATGTTTTCCTAGTCAATGATTTCATTAGTTTATAAAGTTTTTTTTTTGTCTTTTTGAGACAGGGTCTCGCCATACAGTTCAGGCTGGCCTTGAGCTCACTTTGTAGCCCAGGCTGGTCTTGAACTCGCAACGATCCTCCTGCCTCAGCCTCCCGAGTGCTGTGATTACAGGTGTGCGCCACCATGCCTGGCCTAATTTATAAAGTTTTGATTAAAGGGTGTAACTTTGGTTTTTGGGTTTTTGGTTTTTTTTCTTCTGGTACTGGGAATCAAACTCACGACCTTGCACTTGCCAGACAGGTGCTGTGCCGCTGAGCTAAATTCCCAGCCCTTTTTTTTGAGACAGGGTCTCACTGTGTCGTCCAGACAGGCCTTGAACTCACAGTCATGGTCCTGCCTCAGCCTCCTCAGTGCTGAGATTACAGGTGTATGCCAGCATACCCAGCTCTTAACTTTGCTTCTTGAAAGTACGTTTTCGTAGCCTTTGATTTTACATACAGAAAGCGGATTGGTCTAAATGTAGTAGAACATACTTCTCTATTTGGAAATAGCACCGTTTGCCTTTCTCCTGCCTCTCCGCAAAGCCAAAGGACACACACGACATTCAGGGGTCCTGCTGAGGGTGCAGGGGTGCTTCCCGTCTCACCTCCTAGGATTTGTCCTGGGTCAGTGGGCTTTTATTGACCTGGCCTGTGTCTGGGAAGTACTTTGCTAAATGACGTTCGAATGCTAACTCCTGTCAGGAATCACCCTCTCGGCTGCCTTTCTGGGGGTGCGTGTGGTCTTTGTGAGCTTTGCTGCTCCTCTTCAATGCTTTGGGCCTTCCTGTTTCACAGATCATCATAATCCAGTCCAGGTGTAAACCATCCATAGCTGAGGTAGCACCTTGAAAAGTTTCCATTTCCTTCCTTTTAAAACTTAGTCTAAGATATCATAAAATGAACAACAGTCAGATTTGTTTTAGGGTAGATTTATGTTCCTGTTTATTTAAAGATCATTCAGCCTCAGAGCAGGAAGGGCCTCAGATCAGTTGTCTCCAATTCTTTGGATTTTTGGATACATCAGAATCACCCCAAGATCTTGAAGAAATTCCCAACTTAAAAAAGGTAGTAGAATAACACAGTGAACCACAGCATGGAAATACTTCTGAATACTGTGTCTTCTTGCTCAGATGTGGCCCATTTGCTTCATGCTGGTGTGTGTGTATGTATGATTAAGCCTTGGACATCACCATAATACTTAATCTCAAATACTTCAACTTAGTGCTAATTATTCCTTCAACCGAAGTCTCCTAAGAACAAGGACATTTATAAAACCACAATCAAGTTACCAAGCTCAGAAAATTCAGAATCGATGTCATATTGGTATCTAATAGAGAATCCGTGCTCATGTTTGCCGGGTGTCCCAGTAAAACCCTTTAGAGCACTTATCCTGCCCTCGTCCAGGATTGGACACTCATGGGATAGTTCTTCAGCCTTCCTTAGTCTTTCGGGACATTGATGCTCACGGAGAGTGCAGGCCAGCTGCTCCATCATCAGGCCCTCAGTCTGCCTGCCGTGCCTGTGGTGCCACACTCAGGGCAGGAAGGCTGTGGAAGTGCTGTTCTGACCTTTTTTAGTGTATCAGCTCCCGGACATGGAACGTCAGCTTGTCTCATTCTTGATAATGATGACTTTTTGTTTAATTTTGCACGGTGGCATTGGTAATCTTTAAATAACCGCTTCCTCGGCCTCTAGGGTGCCTCTTTGGCAAGTCAGGTTGGACCAACTTGCTAGTTATTTTTAAGCTTGCATATAATTCTGAAAGGAAGCCAGTCTGAGAACCACCAAGATTTTAAGTGCCTTTAGCAGAGCAGCTTTATGACCCCCTTTATCACCTGAAAGGTCAGCCATGTGTCCTTTATTTTATTTACTTGTTTGTTTTTCCTGGTGGCAAACAGAATTGACAGTCTTCTTTTGGATTTGACCGAGTTGCCGTTTCTTACATTTAGCTGCTGTCTGTCTAAACCTTCTATGCTTTGATCAGAGTGCTGCTTTCCAGAGTCTTACAGAGTGGTTAAGAAGATTAAGTGTGGAGTAAGCCTAACTTGTTCTTTGAAGGATGGGCTCATTTCTCATGTTTCCCCTGTGTCTTCCCCATCTCAGTGGATCCCTCGCCTTCCTTTCTGAGTGCAGTCTGCGTCTAGAGCCTCTGAGGGAGCTGTGGCCCCGGGCGCTGTTAGCAGTGGGGGCTGTCATCTCAGCACTGGCAAGTGATGGTCCTGACCTGAATAGTTCTGAAAAGGGAAAGGCCAAGGAAATGTTTCTGTATGATTTTCTGTTGCTTGTACTGT